CACTCTGGGGAATTTGAGCCGAAGCAGAGAGTCGGCAGAACTGGGGACACACACAGGAACAAAGGCCATAGGTAGGAGCCATGAGTTGGAAGAAGGCCAGGTAGAAGAAGCCAGAAGCAGAGAAGAGAGAGAAATGATCCCAGTGGGAGTGGGCAGAGCAGTGGGAGGATGTATGGGGGATATGCCAAGGGAGCACCTAAGAGGGTTGTTCTTGAGATGCCAGTGTGACTATTAGAACAAAGTTCTTATTTGCTGTGTGACCTCATGGCTCAGCAGCTAAAAGGATGTGTCTTGCTTCCTAATGGATCCTTAAAATAATCTCCCATTAACTGAAGCAATTTTTCCCTTACAAACTAAAAATCAATAGATCAATCAATCAATTCACCAACAGGATAACAGGAGCTTGCCTCCACTTTCAGTGCCACCTCCTGCTTTAAGGCTAAGCGCAAAGCCAGACTGTTCTTTTAAAGTTTCTTATTTGAGCAAATGCGCGATTGGATGGCATGTGGATGAACAAAGCTTGGGCGTGTTTAGACACGGCCAGGACTTGGGCGCCCTCTGGATCACTCAAGTACCAAAGCAATGACTTACCAAATAGCAACAGTAAAGGGGAGACAATGGGGCACAGGGGTTATGTTCAGGACTGAGTGAGTAGGTAGCTGAGTAACGGAGACAAGTGTGAGATCAAGTCGGAAAGAACAAGAATACTACCGCCAAAGCTCAGAGATATTGCAGGTTTGGCTCCAGACCAGCGCAACAAAGGGAATCATAACTCCTTCACTGGTGGAGGTTCTTGCCTTCAATTTGGAAACAAAAACAAAAATAAAACAAAAACAAAACAAAAAACCCCCACACGGGCTACATCCTGGAAGGGAGGTACTCCCCTGCCTTTACCTTCTAATCTTTGCTTGGAAGTAGAATGCATTTGAAAGGAAAGCCCTGGCTGGGCCATCTCTGATTGGGGAAAGGTAGATTTGAGGAAGGATGAAAGGGAGGTTAATGAATAGATAATAGTCCTAGTTTGGGTGGGAAGAGGGAAGAGATAAGATAGGGGACAGAGGGAGAGCTGCTCAAAGCCCTCAGGGGCAAGAAATTTGGGGTCTGAGGGGAAGAACAGAGGGCAAAGCTCAGCCTGGCCTGACCTACACATGGCCTATAAATGAAATATTCACTTTTAAGTGGTTTTCCTAAGTGGACACCTGAAGGCGCTGTATTCCAGTCACCTGGAAATCTTTTCTTTTTTCTTTTTTTTGTCCCCCATCAAGTAAATTGTCCTCAATTTGCTGAAGGATAAACAAGTAATGCTATAAAGAAAGATACCCATGGAAGACAGAGGTCAAAGACTACCTTTCCTCCCTCTCTTTGTTCTTGAACCAGATTCATGAATGAACAAGCCTGGCCTTGATTCAAGCCCCTGGGTAATGGCTAGGATTCAATAAGATAACCTGATTTAAATCCCCTTAGCATTCCATAGGAAATCAATAAATATCAGCTCCTTCCCACATACAACCACATACAAACATGCACACTTGCCAACTACAGGAACAAGAGTAGGAACATGAGGAGGCGTTACACCGACCCTTTATCTCCCTGAAGGGGGCAGGACTCAGAAGCCCCACAACGGATGTACAGCTGTGCGAGAAATTCATTCCAGAGAGCAAATTTATGCTGCTCTTTTCGTTGCATGTTGCAGCTTGCACATAATAGCCAGAGGGAATAGAACACAAACAGCTGGGAAATAAAGATGAAAGCAAAACGGTGTCAGCAGGGAGAGACACACCTCCCCTGAGGACCCGGCAGTGTCAGGAAACATAATTTGAACAAGGTCACCTGCATAGAATCCTCTTTTTCAGAGAAATGCCCATTTCCGACCATCTCCTTCAAAGTCAAGGTAGGGATTGGCACACGTGTTCCCTAGCTTTCAAATTTCTACTGTCAGGTCCAATGCATATAACGAAACAGAGCCACAGGCGAAATCATGCGTTATCAGAAGGCTGACTGGGATCCGGGATGGTGGGAAAACAAAGAAATTCTGCTTCCTAGCACAAAAGGAGCCTGTTGAGGTTTCCCCCGTCCTGAATCCCAGATGGCAAGTTTTGTGGCCATATACCGCCCTCTAGTGTCTTTTTAAGGGATGGTAACGTGAGAAATAAAAACACTTCTCATGATCCCCAGGCATCCCATATCATCCCAGCACAGGACTGAGCAAACCGAACAAAGCAAGTGAAATTCTTAGGGGAAAAAAGGCAAAGCCGGGATTTTTACTAAAATTAAAAAGTGCGTTAAATTTGGCCTCAACACAGATACCGCATTTCCCCGGACTTTGGAAAGCACAGGGTCTAGATTAGTGAGTGCTCTTTAAAAATACAGACACCTGTTCTGCGCGCATCAATCTGTCGGAGGTGGGGCCCGTGAATCTGCATTGAGTAAATCCCTCCACGTGACTCCGATGGGGTTACGTTGGTTGACTGCACTTTGAGAAGAACTAAAGTGACTTTAAGGAGAGTGTAAAATAAACCTGATGAGTTTCTTTTAACCCTAAAGAATACAGCTCTTAGGCCAAAAAAAAAGGCATAAAATAAAAGCTGTCCAAGACAGATTGGAGTGGCTGAATCCTTCATGACTGGCACGGAAGACAGCAGTGCTGCTCAGTGCCGAGTGAAGAGTTCATACCAGTGGTTCTCAACCTGTGGGTCACGATCCCTGAAAATACATCCTGCATATCAGCTATTTACATTATGATTCATAACAGTAGCAAAATTACAGTTATGAAGTAGCAACGAAAATAATTTTATGGTTGGGGGTCACCACAACATGAGCAGCTGTATTAAAGGGTCGCGGCATTAGGAAGGTTGAGAACCACTGCTATAGACGGTCCTATGTGATAAGCCCCTCAATGGGAGTGGGCATGTAGGTAGGAAGGAGAAACGATGTGTCTCAGAGACAGTGCCCTACTTGTCTGATGAGACATTACCCACTGCCTGGCACTGCTTCTCTGTGCCCTCGAGGGGCAGGTCTGTGCAGGTCACATACTTCAACCGACCTTGAACTGCTCTTTTCCACCCGTTTTAGTCCCGGACATAGTGCCCAGTTTCTAGTGAGGCTCACTCATGCTTCCTGAGGTCCCTCCCTACACAAACAGGACAGCACTTGGCTTTGAGCTGGCGGCTGGCTTGGCCAGCACACTCAGTGTCAGGATCTCTCCCTTTCCTTCACAATGACTGCCTGAGCCTGCTGTGTACATCGGGGCACAAAAAAATCAGGGGCAGGAAATGCCCTCTATTCCCTTCAGTCAGAGACAAGAAAGAGGGTTGGCCCGGTAAGCAGCATTTCCTTTGAATTGCATTTCACCTTTTGAGCTAAGCTACTTGATCTGTGGGCACAAACAAGATGTCTTTGAAGTTAACAAGAGGCCACGCTGAGAGAGGGAGACAGCCGTTACCACTTATTTTAGGTGTTGGGTGATTATAAATAAGTTCTGCAATTACAGAAAGTGAAACACTTTTCTTTCTTCTTTTATCTGATTTAGAAGGAGGACTTTTCTCTAGAAAGACTTCTGTTGGGTTTTCTCTTTCCAGTTCCCTAACTGCCCCATGTATATTCTTTTTGAATCAAAGGGAAAGATCACATCAGTACAAGTGAACACCTCTTGTGTTCAAGTAAAAATGTGACCACGAGGGTCCCTGTAGGACTATGCAATGCATCCAGGACAGGGCAGAAGCAGCAACTGAGGGGCCTGGGTCAAAACTGGGGATGTCCCCTGATCAGTTTTGCTCAGTGGATAGAGCATCAGCCTGCAGACTCAAGGGTCCCAGGTTTGATTCCAGTCAAGGACGTGTGCCTTGGTTATGGGCACATCCCCAGTGGGGGTTGTGCAGGAGGCAGCTGATCGATGTTTCTCTCTCATCGATGTTTCTGACTCTCTATCCATCTCCCTTCCTCTCTGTAAAAAAACCAATAAAATATATTTTTTAAAAATTAAAAAAACCCAAAAGACTGGGAACGTGTCTTTGCTCAATTGTACCAGTATTTTTATCCCTGGGCAAGTCATTCCCAGTTCAATAAATGCTAATGATACCTCATCCAATGCTGGTTGTCCTTTTAAATGTGATGGGATCACCTGTCCAGCATGGCTTAGTGGTTGAGTACCGACCTATGAACCACCACACATGTCCAGGTTCCAGGCTTGATCCGCAGGGAGAGGTGTGCAGGAGGCAGCCTTTCAATGATTCTCATCATTGATGTTTCTATCTCTCTCTCCCTCTTCCTTCCTCTCCATGGAATCAATAAAAATATATTATAAAAAATGTGATGGGATTGATACTAGTAGATATGTTCTTAGTAATTCACAAAAGCCCACTGAGATAGAAACTTGTGTTATTTTTTTCCTGTTATTGACAGATTTTCCAAGATGTTTATATTGGTCACTTGGAGAAATCAAGTATCAATAAGGAAAGAAAATGTCTGCTAAGACTTTGTTAGAAGCTAGTAAAAGAAACATTCCCACTGGTGCATGTGTGGTGGGAGGATTCACTGTGGGAGGCACAAAGGCATAAGCCAGGCTCAGATCCCGGTTGGTCAGGGGGGCTGTACGTATTTCGGACATCTCACCAGGGAAAGAAAACAAATAAACTCTTGAAGAAACTCCTTAGGTATCTGTTTATCTTGACTCCACATTGATTGCAAACGGAAACTTGCAAATGCCTATTTTTCTTTATAATATGGAAACAAACACATTTCTCTCACCCTTTAAAATTTAATCATGCATGCATTCTTAGGTGTTGCATGTGTTGAGCTGCTATTAAAAATGCATGTATCTGCCACATTAAAGAGGGAACAGAAGCTTGTGTGTTGTATTATTAATTATATGCAGGAAATGAAATTCTGGTTACTATTTGCAGAAGGTACACACACACACACACACACACACACACACAGGCTCTGCCCGGTGAGTGGCGACCTTGGGGTTCATGTCCGCTGCTCTGACCCGCTGCACTTACTCTTGAGGTCCAAGTTCCTGGCTCCGGCGGTGATCTGCGTTGTGATTTTCGTGTCGATCTTTACAGTGTGGAGATTGCTGGTGTCCCTTGATATCATCACGTTGTGCCACTGATTGTCATTGAGAGGTTTATTTGAACTCCCTTTGATGAGGTTAGCACCATTTCCCAAGTCAAACACGTAATGTAAGTACCTGGGGGGAGAAAGGACAGTGGGAAAATGCCATCACTTTTTGAACTTTTTTTATGGAGTCAAACTCGATGCTACAAGAGGAGAATTTTTCTTTCAGGTGCCTCTGTCCTTGCTAGAAGTCATGTGAGTGACTTGTATAAAAACTCAGCTAATGAGAAGGAAACTCTATTCTGCATCAGTAAGGCAGATTCTTTATTGTCTTCACTATAAAGAATAATGAAAAAATATCTATTTTTTATATTAGGGTCTATACCAGGGTTGGGGAAGCTTTTATTTTGGCCAAGGACCATTTGGATATTTATAGCACCACTCGTGGGCCATACAAAACTATCAAGTTAAAAATTAGCCTGCTATATTTGGTCAAACATTGAATTGCCTCACTCCTAATGCCTTGGCAGGGCCAGAACAAATGATTTTGGAAAGAATATACCATTCCTTCTTTCACCCCTCCCTCAAGCCTTGGCTAACCACAACGAACTGGTAATTCTTCTCAGCTTCTTGCATTGCTTTCCCCTCCACCTGGAATGCCGGCTTCTCTATAGAAATGTGGACTCATCCTTCAAGTCTCAGCTCTACTCTCTACCCCCTGCCTCATACGTTTCATATTTTCCCTAAACACTAAGCCTTTGCACGTGATCATCTTAGAAAAATGTTCACAGTGCTTCTTTCCTATCTATGTGTTCACCTACAACCCCTAGGATTGAGTACTGGCATATGCGTGCCTTGGGGTTGGTGGACTCTGAGATATGCATGGGGTAGCAAGAGTGTATATATATATTTCCTGGCACATTATCTAGCCCATTGTAAATATGCAATAATAGTCACTGAATGAATGCCCATATTAATTAAATTACATAAAACTTTTATCACACTTTCAAGGAAATTTCACAAAAATCCTTCTAAATTCTTCAAGAAACTTGGGCATAGAATTCAGCTTGAGTTAAATGGGATTTTGTAAAATTGAGGAAGTCTGATTACTTGAATTATCTATTTGACATAGCAAAAATTAGCCTACAAATTTGTAGGAATTATTTTGTAGAATTATAGTGTGCTTAGTGATAGTAAGGCAATCCACATTGGAAGTGTAAGATTCATGGAATGCAGAGCATAAATTAGAACCTGATGTTACTTATATCTCATATAATATCTCACATATGGAAATGTAGGTGTAAAAGACTACGCAATACCCCTATTAATTTATAAGATACTTACATAATTTAAATGAATATATTATTTGTATACCCTTGCCCATGGCCTTGTAAGCCAATACATTTTGCTGAATGTATGTTTTTGGAAATGGAGGCCCATTTCCACCAAAGTTTCATTTCTCATTGGACTGTCATATACTCACCCTTTAACTAATTCAACCACAATAAAGTCATTTCCATCCCCACTGTTATATAGAATTAGTCCATCTAGGGATGTTGTCTTGAACTGGAAAAAAAGATGCATAGAAGTGTAGGCTTGCAACGTAGCTAAGGCAACATAGCTTGATTTGGTCTTGAAGGTAACAGGGTCTGCTATGATATTCCGGAAGCCAAACCTGGCATTGAGCTCACAGTAATCTATGTCACCATTTTTACACAAGTCAATGTATGCCATCCCATTAAATGTCAGGCTCTGAAGGTGTCCAATGAAGTTGGAGGGGACAGAAGACAGATACCGCCGTTCCGTGATGATGCCAGTCTCTATGTTATGAAACTCTAGTCTGGTATGATCGCCCGCCATTTGACCTACATGGGAGAACCATGCATTATTATTTTCCATATCTGGAAGGCACTTTCAATTTATAACAACATCATATTTTAAGATACAAGAATCCAAATACCTCTTTGATATTCAATTATATATAGTAAAATCACAGAAGTGATGTTAAAGGGCAAGGCTGAAACACATCACACAACTTTCTTAGATCAGGTTTCTCTCTGTTCAAATTTTAGCCTTAGTAAAAATTGTCCTCATTAGACAAAGTTACAGAGTTTTAAAAAGTAGAAGGGCCCATGGCTTAGTGTTTGAGCATCAACCTCTGAACCAGGAGGTTACAGTTCAGGGCACATGCCTGGGTTGCAGGCCAGAAGGGGGTGTGCAGGAGGCAGCATATCAATGATTCTCATCATTGATGTTTCTACCTCTCTCCCACTCCTTTCCTCTCTCTGAAATCAATAAAAAAAAATTTTTTTAAGTAGAAGAAAAGAAGGAAGTGATTAATGGAGAAAGGGAGAAAGTTTAAGAGGAAGGGAGAGAGAGAAAAGAAAAGGAAGTAAGGGAGAAAGCTAGGGAGGAAAGGGAACGAGGAAGAGGGGGAGAGAGGAAAGAAAGAAAGAAGGAAAGAAGGAAGGAGTGAAGGAAGAAGGAAAGAAGGAAGGAAAGAAAGAAGACAGGGGAGGGGTTAGAGACAATGATTGTGCTAAATCAAACAGAGGAAGAGTGGGAGAAAGGAAAGAAAGAAGGGAAGAAGGAAGGAGTGAAGGAAGGAAAGAAAGAAGACAGGGGAAGGGGTTAGAGACAATGATTGTGCTAAATCAACCCAGTAGAAAGTGATGTATTCCAGCTTCATAGTGATGTTTTTCTGAATAAGAAATGTTCTTAAAAAGAAAATAATGTGACTGTATATTTTCCTATCACCAATTAAAATAATGAAAAGCTACTGACTATGTTTCCAATAATGAACCATGAAAATGTGTTTGAAGTACGTCATTTTCACCCTCCTTTTTCTGTGCTGAATAATTTCCATAATTTATGCCACTTTCCTTGCACTTACATTATGGAAAACTAAATTGAGCACAAATTCAAGGTATGTCCAATTTTGAGAATACCAGTAAAAGTAGTCCACATTACCAAAGTTATAATCTCTAAACACTTAAGTATGAAGCTCGGTTGCATATTTATATGGTGATTCATTCTTCAATTCATCCCCCATCCCTCTTCGTCCTGCCAAATTTCTCTATAAACCCCTTTGAGAGCCAACCTAGTTATAACTTTACCTCCAGAGTGATAATCGCACCTACCTTTAGGGTTGAAGATAAATTACATAAAAAAGATGTAAGCTTGGTTTTTTTAAGATACAATATAAAGTACCTTATCTTTGCTAGTGACTCACTCCCAGCATCTTGTTGTTGTTTAATTAAACTGACATTTGCATTCTTCTGAAAATCAAAAAGGCCATTAAAATTGCAATCAAGTTCTTCCGGTTACTAACTTCACTATTCAATTTGGCATAATTGGAAAATCTATTAAGCTTACACTATCCCATCATCCATGATATTAATAAAATAATTAATTAGAGCCAATCCCAGTATCAAACCCTGAAAAAATTCACTAGACCTTCCCCCAGGTGTAATAAAGATTGAATAACCACCTATGTGGCTCTCCTTCAACCAGCTGGACAGATTTCCATGTCTTTAGTCAGGACAGTAAAATATTAAGTGGCATTTTAAGGAAATGCCTCTAAGTAAAATATAAAAAGGCCTACTCTTTGTTGTGCAAGACAAATTGCCTACATACTTAATTGATGCTTATAAACTTATTTGTGTAAAAATCTTGCCCCTAATCTGAACTTGACTCTACTTAATTTTTACACCTGATTACTAGTCCTTGATCCTGGTAACAACTGTCCTGTCACGCTGGGCGTGTTTTCTTATCAGTCATTGGTTTGTTCAAATCCCCTCTCTGCAATCTCTTTTTTAAAGCTGAAAATACCACTGTATATAGTTGTCAGTCCTCCTCCTTCCTCCCCACTATGTCTCCTGCTTGTTTATCTGATGCAAAAACACGATTAAATTCTTAGCAATTCTGGTTTCTTGTATGATATCATTTCTCTCTCCTTCTTCAGTTCTTCTTGTTCAATGACCTCCACACTGCTCTATGGAAAACTCTCTCTTTGGTGGCAAATCAAATGAGCCTTTAATAATTGTCAAATATAAAGCTCTAGAGATACCAGTAACATTGAATTAACAAGCCATACAGAATGAAAAACAAACAGCTTTAAAATCACGTGGGCTTGTATTGATTTTTATTTTTTTCATGATATTAAAATCTTAGTTTTAAATCAGTGAATCCACCCCAATCCTAAAATTGTCATATTTCTTCTTAAAAATTCCATTAACAAGCCAAATGATAGGAAAGAAATATCCAGAAAAAATATTCCTAATGCTTGAAATTAAATATTATCCACAAATTGTCAAGTTCTTGGCAGCTCTGAAATAGTGAAACACATTTTGTTTAGGATGACTGAGAAGTTCAGTGATAAAAATAGCACCTAATGTCTGTTTTCTTTTCAAAGAAATAGGATATGTATGCAGAGCATAAATAAAAAAAAAACAGTGGTGGAGCCACCATGGCCCAATTACAAGGAAAATCATTATGGCCCTTGTTCAAGAGCCTATTCTTTGTTTAATAAGCAGATATAAATTGCATTGACAGTAATGGTGGCTACGTCTGCTCCAGGGAGAGAATTAGCTCCTCAAAGCCATTATCCACTGACTAAGAAAACATTAAGGCTGCCTTTTAAAAACTCTATTTTTCCTCAGAATTTATTTCAATGTTTAATCATCTATACATAATGTAGCCACCTCTACTCTTATACACATATATTAAGAAAAAAAATTAAGGACATTAAAGGAGAAAATTTTTTAAGGCTCCAACCGTTAAAAATCCAGTCTTTTCCAGAGAGTTAGTGGGAAGAGTAATTTAAAATGAGCAGAATGCCTCTGATCAAAGTGTCTGGGTATAGCAGATGGATGACAATTTCCTATAGAAAAAAAACACCCAACCGGATGGTGTGTTTACATAAAAATCTCAATATCTAAAGAAAATCTTTTGTACCTAAACTGATAGCCAGATCAGCTTCTTGAGATTCAGCCTTGCTCAGAGCTGGCCTAATTTCTGCTGCAGAGCAAAACAACCCGCCAGCCTTACACTGAACTTGTTGGTTCACTTAGAGTGACTGCGTGTGTGGTATGTGCATGTGTCAGGTGATGAAAAAGAGAGCGGTAGGAGGAGCAGACATGGGTCCCATTTTCACAAGACTCACAGTCTTTCGGGAGAAAGCAGGCAAAACGACGTAAGGAAATAATTAAATATATAATGACAGCACTCAGAGAAATGTTAGGAATTTGTTGCACAGGCTGCTGTGTTGTAAATATGAAATGGCGGGAAATACCTGAGTTAATATTTAACTTAAATTTGAAGGTATTAAAACGAGAAAGCCATGCTACAAGAAATAAGTCAGTCAGTAAAAAAGCTAAGAACCACATGAGTGGGATATAAAACAGAAAGCAACAACTCAACAAACAAGCAAAAACTCAGATACAGACAACAGTATGGTAGTTACCGGAGGAATGGGGGGGAGGGTAGCAAGAGGTAAAAGGGGTCAAACATATGGTGACGGAAGATGATTTGATTTGGGGTGGTGGGCACACAGTGCAATATATAGATTATGTATCATAGAAATGTGTACTTGGCACCTATATCATCTTATTAATCACTTTCACCCCAATACATATAATAAATTTTTTTTAAACAGAAAGAAAACCAAAGACAAGCCACACACACACAAAATTGAACTATGTGTATCAGCTCCGAGTTGTGCACCTGGTTTCCAAAGTCACCTGCAAGAAATGGGAAAGCCTAAAGCTTCAGTAAAAGAGAGGGTGATGGGGACAGTGGGGTTTACCTGTCATGGCCTGTTGGTCATCCACCGTTAACTTTAAACTTTTTCCCCGACGAACCACACGCACTGTGTGCCATTCGTTATCGTTGAGGTTATAGCCGGCAAAAAGGGTCTCAGGACCTTTGCCTGTAGAATATGCCAAACAGTCATTATGGACACTCCGCATCGGTCAAACAAATGAACCTCACAGAGAGCGCGAGAAAGAGACAAAGAAAGGGGAAAGCGAGGGAGAGGGAGGAGAGAGAAGAGAAAAAGAAATGCGAGAGATAGGAGAGAAAGGAGAGGGAGCAAGAGAGAAGAGACTGGCTGGATCAATTTTCAAGCCCATTAGAGTCATAGCAAGCAAGGAAAATGACAAGTTAGCAGACATTCTGGTGTGACACTTGAAGAAGAATCTTCAGCACACTATGCATTGATCTAAGACAAGCGAAGGAACCTGTTGTCATAAATGGGCACAGTCAATACAGCATTGGGAAGCCTCCCACATGTACACACACCTTTACTTTTCTAAGAAGTTCTCTGATTTTTCCAGTTATCACTTTCTTGCTAATGTAGTCGCTAGCAGTCATGTAACCTCTGACCTCGGGGAGAGACCTGGCCAGAGGTCATTAGCTAAGCATTTTCAGGGAGTGGCCACTGGCTGGATTAGAGGAGATTGCTCTGGGTACTATACTGAGTGAGGGCTCTCTTTACTCTGACTGCATGTACTTCCTATGTTCACCAAGTTCTTAAATGTATTGTGTCTAAAAACTAAAACTAGTAGAGGCACAGAAGAGGAGTGTAGGTAAAAGTATTGCCTCTTAGAAAAATGAAGAAAACAGAAGTCACAACCCCCCAAAAATGGCCACATATTGAGTGGGAAGGAATAAAAGGTGATATTAAACAGCAGTAGAGGACAGGGATTCCCAGGTAAAAACTAAAAGAAAGAGGACAAGAAGTGTAACCAAGGAAGTAACTGCCAGTGACTCTATAGAAGTTTAAAATCCATAGATAAATGGAATTTAAATAGGCTGAGAACAAACAGATTACCTCAGAAAGTTGTTTTGTGGAAATTATTGAAATGACAAAGTTAGACAAATCTCCCTCTTCCACACACACAAATCAAGGGAAAATAGCTTTTAGGTTAACTAGAAAGATTTCATAGGAAAATAAGCATTTCTACCAATCTGACATTATGATTCACTGAGAAAAATAATGAAAAGTTTTTAAAGATCCACACTATTTGGTGATGGATTTCAGTGTTTTAAAAGTCATGAAATTTTCTAGTACATTTCAATAATGCGATGCATGACATCATTGAGTTTAATGACTTTCATCCAATTCACGATCAGGGCTTGCTTCACTACTTCTTCAACTAAATTCTATCCACAAAACCAATTAACGTCCGAGGAGCACAGGAGGACATACTAAAATGCCAATGAAAAGGAGAACAAAGGTGGAAAAAAATAAATATGGGAACCACCAAGAAGAAACCTCAGTAGTCAGTCCGACAAGAGATCATTCATTGTTTGCTTTTAGTACTGCAGCCTATCCACGCAGCTCCCTGATCTCTCTCTTAGGATGCCACTGATGATACAAGTTCTGTATTCCTTGGTTGGGTTTCACTAGATATTAAATGAGCCAGTTATCTAAGCTAAATTTTGCATGACAAACTGCCTCATGTCTACACAGGGCCATCATGAAGATTAGAAACAATCTCTTGTTGTTTCTTTAGAAAAGTTAAATTCATCCGGATACATGAATAAAAGCTTGTCTAGATAGAAGAGTGTTAGGGAGATTTATCACGAAATAGCTAAAGGAAGCCTGTTAGCTCAGCAACTGCAAAAATGCTTTGAGACCAAATGTTGAAAGCAAGTTCCAGCATTAAAGGGACTCTTTTTTAGTTTTAATGGTGAAAAAAGGAATGTTCAATAACTCTGCAGAATCTTAGCATCCTACTGGCAGCGAGGGTCATTCTTAGTTTTGATCTTTGAAAAGAGAATACATCATTTTAAAGCTATTTTTACAGGGGAGATCTTTTTTTTTTCCCCCTTTAGAACTATGTGCTTTTGAAGCAGCTTCACTCCCCTTCTCTTAATTTTAAAGGTGTTCTGTCAAGAAAAAGAAACATAAGGGTGATATCATCATTATACCCCATTCTGGGCTTGATCTTGCAGTAAAGTCATAATGCTTAATCTATGAAACGACGATTTCCATAACAACAGGCACAAAATGCAATTAAAAATAACCCTTTGGTTCGTAAAAATCTCTGTGGGCCAACTTCAAGCTCCTTTCTTGCATTATTAAAAATGTGAAGAGATTGATTTTGGAAGACAAGGCTTTTAAAAATGCACTTAATATTCTCAGTTCAAAACAACACTATCTATGCAACATGAAGTGTAATAAAGAGTGCGCTGGACCGGGAGGGGAGCTAAGAATTGTGGTCGCTCGTCCTTGATTTGCTACTAAGAAAGAAGCCAGGGGCTGGGAAATGCTTGTTATGTTCCAGGCACTTTATCTGTTAATTGACTTCATCTTTACAGTATTATCATTTTACACTTGTGGAACTGAAGGCCCAGAAAACCAAAACTACTTGTCCCGAGGTCATAGAGTTAAAATGTGATAGAGAAGTGTCCCATCCCAGATTAGCCTACCCAATGCAGGCAATACTTTCCCTTGCATTATCCTGGCTCCCAGCTACATGACCTTCGGCTAGCAATTTAAAATTTTAGCATCCCCACGTCTGAGTGAAGGGGGTAGAAAATCTGCTCCTTGTCATGACTTGCAGATTGATCAGAATGATGGGAAATGTTACATACCCTCTGTATAAGTCATGGTGGAAGAACAACCCGATCAAACACTGTACCTCTTCCTAGGAATACTGATATAGAGGAAGGACCATTAATTTGGGGCATGATCCACTCATAATCAGGATTCTGCTAAAAGATTCAGCTTCTGGTGGTCTCAATCTTTAGCTAATCTTTACAGTACCTTTGAGATCTCACATTCTCAGACATTTACAAACACATGGAATTGGTACTTTTAAAAAAGGTGCTTCACTACTGACATTTTGAGCTTGAGAATCATTTGTCCTCTTGGGTACATTTGAATGGCAAAATTATAGTCACTCAAACCATTAGTAATCTGAATTCCTTTTCAGATTTCTTCTTTCTTTGGGGATATCAAAACATGTCTCATTGGTAGTAATATTTTTCTCCCAGCATTAATGTGAGTGTTATGGACCAACTGTTCATATGTTGAAGTGCTAACCCCTAATGTGATGGCATGAGGGAGTGGGCCCTTTTTGAGGTAAATAGAATTAAATGAGGTCATGAGGCTGGAGCCCCCATGATGGAATTAGTGCCTCTATAAGAAGAGAAAGAGCCCTAACCGGTTTGGCTCAGCAAATAGAGCGTCGGCCTTCGGACTCAAGGGTCCCGGGTTCGATTCCGGTCAAGGGCATGTACCTTGATTGCGGGCACATCCCCAGTGGGGAGTGTGCAGGAGGCAGTTGATGAATGTTTCTCTCATTGATGTTTCTAACTCTCTATCCCTCTCCCTTCCTCTCTGTAAAAAATCAATAAAATATATTTTTTTAAAAAAAGAGAGAGAAAGAGACATTGGAGTTCTTTCTCTCCACCATGTGAGGATACAAAAAGAAGCCAGCTATCTGCAAGCTAGGATGAGAGCCCTCACCAAAAACCAAACCTGCCAGAAATCTGATCTTGGACTTGTCAGTTTCCAAAACTATGGCCAATAAACATCTGTGGACTACGCGACCCAGTCCATGGTATTTTGTTATAGCAGCCCAAACAGAGTAAATAGTGAGCGATATTTTAAATATTTTTTTTAAAGTTCATAGCATTGTTTCTGTTTTAAAGACAATCACTCTTTGTGTTTTGTAGGGAGTTTTAACTTGTATGTAATTTTACACTTGATTTTTACTATAATCTATTATTAAAGCCACAGAAATATTATTTTTCAATTTTTAGTTAAAAATCAGATTTAGAAAGGTTGAGAATATTACAAATCTCAGTTAACACTTACCTATTTATGAATTCCAGGTGGTGCTAAGACTTTGCTAAGAGGGTTGGAGATAACCCCAATTTAATGAGCAGCAGGAAATGGGAGATTCACAGTTAGCTAAGCAAGTTCTTTGAAATCTACTGCTCTTACAGAGTATTGATTTAACCATTAAGAGATACACTTAAAAGATGGTAGCTGTTTTTGGCCAGGTTAATAACCACATTTGCTAATTACTTTTCATCTCCATTTTCACTATGGGAGGAGATGGTGGTGGAAATTGGATTTTGCCACTGACATCAACTAATTGTGTCACCTTAAGTAAATCATTTACCTTCTTTCTTTCTTATATTTTTATCTGGAAAAAAAAAGGACACTTGATAAAGACATATACTCTCCAGGAGCAAACTTTAAATGCTGTCATTCTTGGAAGGACCAGAACTGACCTGTACTACTTGCCCACCTTGTGGCTACATGAAAGACTGCAATTCTAATGTGGGGTTCTCTAAGTTTATAAAATGTTCAATATTATTATTTTTACTATTCTTAATTTCATTTTTGTTTTGACCCGGGTAGGCAGAGAGAACTTTAAGGATAGTTATTCTAGACCTATTACTCAACTCAAATGAAACCAGTGGGGCAAGACTGAAATATCCTAAAAAATGTGTTTATTAATTTTGTAGTCAAATTTTAAGGGGAAGAACTCTGTTTTTGTCCTCTTGGAATCCCTCATAGATCATAGATAGCATCAAATGATCAGTACAAGGATCAGACAGGAGCGGTGAATGCGCCGTCCTGTGGGCCAGGACATGGCCCTGCTTTACAGGCAAGTTCACTTAGAAAACAAAAATAATCAGACGGTTGTGTGGTGAAATAAGGAAGTCACTTTTAAGGAACCCTTTCTCTTGGCTGCGGTAAATTATTCTCTCCCCTGTTCAAATAAGCAGGTCAGGCTAGGCAGTCCTGGAGACTCTGACCCAGTATCTCTCTGAGTTTCCCTTACTCAGAACAATTACTGCTGTGCAATGTGAAAATCCAGGAGCTAGAGGAGGGCAGTGGTTTTATAATTCTTTTTAAAGCAGAGGAATCCCCACCCCCCTGCTCCCTGTAATCATGCGTAAGGA